GCTTGATGGATCGTCATTGATAATTTCCCACCGCGGAAAAAAGAAAAAGAAAGAGAAAAAGGTTAATGGAGAAGCCTTTGGAGGGTGAAAGGAGGGTTTTTTTCTGCTACACCTTTTTATTTTTTTTATTTTCTAGGAGAAGCAGCAGCAGACCCCACCTCGAGCACTGAGCCCCACTGCTCCCCGATCTCTTCCAAAAGAGGGTTCCTCACCTCACCTCCCCCCCCTCTGCCTCCCTCTTGAAACAGACTCTATGGACTGCATGCATGACATTCCAGCTGTGTGGGTGGCACGGCTTTTTACAGCTTCTCCAACGGTACACAGGGCTCCTAAAGCCCAGCAGCAAAGGAGCCCCAGGTCCCATCTTCAGGAGCACTTCCTCAGGCAGGAGCCGGGCTTCCCTCGCAATTATTTTACCTGAGAAATGGGAGCAGAGAAGCCGATGCTTTGTTATCTGCTGACCCAAAGTCCTACAGGACAGGATGTGGAAAACAATAAATCCCCAAACAGCATGTTGCTCTTCTTTTATATCTAACTCCAGGGTTTTGTTTGGAGTCTTGCTGGGGAAACTCTTTCATGATTTCAGAACTCTAAATAATTAGTCATGGTTGCTGAATTCAGAAAATAACTCCTGCATCCAAAAGGGAGTTCATTTTCATTTGGTGTTTATTTTCCTTAATAATTCTTAAAAATCCCAACACTTACGTTGTGTTATTCAGAATAAATCCTTTCATATCTTAGAGACCCTGCTGCGTGAAAAATGTTTATATCCTCTCAGACCAAATGAAATGTTCTCATCCATCCCATTTCAGTTGTAAAATGTGAAGGATTTATTTTCCCCCGTTGTCTCAACGCTTTCCGATGAGAAACGTGATTTTTTCACTTCACTAAAGGTGCTGCAAAAGTAAGAAACACAAAGAATCAAAATGGTTTATTTAACTCACTCTGATGTAACTTCATTTTAGTCAGCACTTCTGAAATAAAGAAAAGGGTTTGCAAGACATGAAAACGTAGTTATGTAGGATTAAAAATGTAAAAAAAGATACTTAGAAAATCTTTTCAAATGCCCACTTAGAAAATCATGCTACAACACAAGGATGGGAATAATAAGAACCAATGAAAACGTAATAACAATAAATGAAACTTTGTTTTACACATTTTGACAGAAACACTTACAAACATTGTGTCAGAAGCCAGTTAGAAAATGTTTACATGGATCTAAAAAAAGATTCTCTTTGGTCTGCTCCCCCTTTTGCATCAAATTGTAAAATCTTCATTTTTAGTTCCAAATTTCTAATTAAATTCCTTTTCGAACGGAGGCTAGCTTTCTTTTAAACTAGCTTTCTTTATGGAAGTTTGTGCTTAAAAACTAAATGAAACTACAATTATAAACATAATCTTTGCAAAACCACATTATGGAAATCTGAACCATTTGGTTATGAATAGCTTCTGGGGCACATTCAGAACTGTTCATTTGTTTAAAATGGACTCATCTACATTTTTCAAAAATCTGTTGACGTCTTTAATGTTGAGATCAGACTTGAGAAATGTCCCACTTCTATAAAAATAACCATTTAATTTGTATTATTAGCAACGTTTTCTTTAACCAGCAGAGCTGCAAGGCCACAAAGATTTTAAAGAACCAAACTAACTCCACCATCTCAAACCTGCACGCTTCTTCTCCGCAACAACCTCCATTATTTCCACCACTCATCATCCCAGCAGAAGTTTATTAAAGCTCAGAATCTGCTGATGGAACTCATTGATTTCCAACCACCAGCAACAGCAGCTAACCTTATCCATAACTCACAGCTACGGCTACGTCAAGCTTGTTTTTCCCTTCCATCGGGCGAGTGCATGAGCAAAGTCCAAAGGATGAAAAAACTCAACCCCATTAACAGAACTTCAGAGGAATTCCTCACTTTACATACAGAATGCACATTGGGTCAAAGGGCAAAGGGCCAGAGGGGAATCCACCCGCGCCCAGGCAGGCAGGCCTTATTTAAACAAGCCAGGAATGCCTGGCTGGTGGAAGAGAGGAGGAGAAGAAGAAGAAGAAAGGAGAAGGGGGAGGAACCTCTCGGCCATTAAAATGAGCAGGGGCCACCGCCAATAAATACCAGCACTTTTTAAATTACCTGCATTGGCTGACTTCATGTGCTACTGAAATTTATTATGAGCTTTTCCTGCTTATAGATTTACTTGGCAGAGCAGGAAAAGATGTCTGCTGCTGTAATAAGAGGTTAAGTCCCCATATATATGTTCACAAAGTGCTGTGCAGGTTGTGGTGGTGAAGCCAGCCTCTTAAACACACACTTGTAATTTTTTTTTTTTATATTACCGCAGTATGAACTCAAAATTCCCTGTCCTAGCCATTTTGTAGCTGTGTATCACATCTATATGACGTGTAAATATTCAAGAAAACAGTCAAACCCGGGCTCTTATTACAGATGTTTTTGAGGTAATTTGGATCGTCTCTGCAACATCATGTTAGTAGGGGAAGGTTTGATTTTTTTCTCGTGTATTGATTCTGTATTTCTGTTGGTCAGCGTAATATTTAAGGAAGTTTAAGAAGAAGGAAAAAAATCCATGTAGGGCCATATTATCTGTATGCATTTATTAGCAGTTAATAAGAGAAATATGTTTCATGAGCCCAGACCTCTGACTGAAAGATTTCGAGCAGAAGATCTCTTCATTAGAATCTAAAATGCCCCCCCCCCGCCGCATTTTAATGTAATTAGGCTCAGTCTGTCACCTACCTGTCTGTAATCTAACGGATCAATCAGCCACAAGCTAAATGCAAAAACCTGCATTCCAGGCAAAGGCCGAGCTCTCAGTTTTAGGACCATCTCGCCAAAATTTCTTACAAATGACATGCTACAATCCCCATAGCCATGTTGGAATTCTGTCTAGTTCAGGGCTTCAAAGCTGGACAGGAACCCTCAGTCTTTCTGGCCAATGGGTGTGGAGGGGTGGACCCTGCCCGCCTTGACCTCGGCAACCTTCCTCAACCTCCCCCACCGACCCGGTGTCCTGCTCCTCATCCCCCCACCAGCCTCTTCATCTAGCCACCCAGTCAATGGGTCAGGCTGTTCATTTGTCTGACGGATTCAAGGGTCTTTAATGAGTTTAAGGAAACAAAATAAACCTGAGCTCAGAGCCACCGTCAAACCCCAGAAGCACCGGTGTCCGTCACATCTTTTCATTAAGGTGGTTGCTCGAGAAAAAAAAAGAGGTATTATCTTAATGAGAATAAGCATTTTCAAGAAACACCTCGACGTTTATGTCATTCTTCAGCCTCAGAGAGAGAGAGGAACCCAACGATCATGGACACAACTCCCATTCTGCAGCAGCCTCTCAAAAATCTTGACTCAGCGTCTTTGGTGTGTCATCGAGGCGGCCATTTTCCTTTTAAGGCTCATGAGATCTCCTCGGTGCACTGCTGGAGCCAATTACCCAACTCTGATGAGATCACGGCTTTCCGTAAACTGCTCAATTATCTGAGGGTTTTCTTTGTTTTACTGCTGGAAATGTGCAACTTTTCTAGACCAACATACGGTTTTTTAACAGAATTATAGTTTGTGTCCATGTGGCTGCTGTTGGATGTTAGGACACCGTGCTGCGGCTCAACTGTGCTCACACTGAGAAATGATCAGGAAATGCTGGCAGCAAGATAAAAATACAGTTCAGCCTTAAAGAATCTCCAGTTCAGACATGATGTCCTGCCTTCTCTCTGATGAGGGTTGGATTTTTTTGTCCTCTGGTGCCATCTGCTGGTGGAGGCTGGCTTTTGCCCCGGGACCGTCAGCCAGTGGAAACCCACTGATGAAGCAGGAACACATGGACAAATAAAAACAAAAAAAAAGACTCTGAAACCTGTTTTAACATCAGTGTCTGTTGCAATAACCAAGAGTGCCAATCGACCCATTTGCTGACAGACAGGTGACTTAAAGCAAGCGCCGAACAAAACTGGAAAAAACATTCTCTGTCCAGCATCTCAAAGAAAAATGATCTCTCTCGATGGTTTGATTATCTTTAAAATGCAGGTAAAAAAACAAATGATGTAAAGACGTCAACATGAGAAACGAGAGAAGGAATATCTTCTGTTCTTCATCATGTTAGCATGTCAAATATACATGTATTAATCCGTTTTGACGTGTAGATAATTCTAGGATATGACAAATCTAATGCTTCAATTAGAGTGGAAAATGAATCCAAAACACTTTTTCTTTTACCAAAACTAGAATTCAAAATGAACAACTCAGAAGTTAAAAAAGACAAAACGAAAACAAATGCATCTGTCATATATTTAAAGTTTCCACTCTTTAATGAGTGTAGTCAAGTTTTAAATATAATATAATCTTGTGCTCAACAACTTTTTAAGCATTACAACGTTTGGGAACTGGAGTGCTTTTTCCACAGCACAAAATGATGCACTCTGCACGTACAAATGACAGAAAAGTTGTTTAAGTCTAAGTCTAGAGTCAGAAGGTGTGTTTTGTAAAGATACAGAAGGTTGTGTGTTTTAATGTCCTATCTCGGCAACATATAGTATCTCATCTGTCGTTATCATACCAGTGGTAGCAAGCAACACCCTTTTTGTACCAAGAGGTTCTTAAAACCAGTCTGTTCTGCTTAAAATAAGATAATTTAAACTACATTTAAGGATGACTACGACCTCTCCAGATGGGTAACTGTTTAAAGGCAAATGGAAACCCTGATAGCACTTTAATGAACCCATAGAAAGAGACACGGTGTTGTTACAGTTAGAGTCATGTTTATTTACAGCAGAATCCTGAATGAGGAGGGAGAGAAAAGGGTCAGGGTTAAAAGGAGACAAAGTGTTTTAGATCAAGCGCTTCAGGATTCATGTTTCACTACACAGTTCTTAATTTATTTTATTCACCTTTTTTTCTATACAGAATCCTTTCAGCCATAATATCAATGCACCAACAGAGTTCTAGTCCTCTGCTGGGGGGTGAGAGGCAGAGGGGCGGGGGAGGGGAGTCAATAAACAAACAAAATTTAAGCACTAAGGAAAAAAAAAAAATTACAAACCAGGGGCTAAAAAGAAAAACATTTTCTATAAAAAAACTTTTATCAACATGATCGTCCTCAGTTATTTATATATGTATATATACACACACACACAGATGTATATATATGCATATAAATATATATATATATATTTTTTTTTCTTTCCGTGTCCATGACAGGGTGAAGAAGGAGGTTTGTACTTCCACAATGTCAGAATTTAGACGACTGCACTGAGCGGAATGGCGGGCGTCCCAAACCTGACAGCATTCAGCTCCTAATATTCAGTCTCTGGGAATCAGTCGGAGGGGGTCAGACCACTGACCACTGGCAGTCTGTCTGACCTGCAGCTTTTGTGGCGCCCGCTGACACCAGCTCATAGGTCCAATGCCTCAAAGTTGGCCGGCAGGGCTCACAACTGCGGTAGCCCTGTTAATGCAATCTGAGAAATGGAACACTGTACACTGAACATGCACGGCCAAGTAGCATAAAAAATGGGGTCCGGGGACGGGGGGGGCGGAGAAAAGACTGTCATTCACACATCTGTCAGACTTCCTGCAGTGTGATCGCTCATGATTTCCAGTACACGTTAGATATCAACTGACAAGCACCACAAAACATCGGAAAGACCCCAAAAAACAAACAAACAAAAAACAAAACTGTCTGGTACCAAATGGTGAAAAAACATCATGTGAGGTGGCTTTAAACTCTAATTTTCATGTTTTTTCTCTGAAGGGCACGACTGACTCACAACTCCCCTCCCTACGTCGGAACAGGTTTTATGATTTGATCAAGCACGCGCATACAGAAATGCACACACACACACACAACCACCCAGCCGGGAAACTTGCATGAATCTAACCACAGTCAGTCCTCCAACTCCAGAGAACAGCAGCTCTAATTTGAGAGTAACCCCTCACAATAGTCAGGTCTTCATCAACTGAGGTGAAATGCTTAAATTTCACACATTCAAACGGGTGGTTTTATTTCCAGACCCCATATCGACTCGTCATGATTTCTGTATCTGTGGAAGTTAAAATAAGTTGCTTTTAGTGTTTGTGGCCTTTCACAGGCTTAAAATTCAGATGTGTACGACTTCTTTCATCTTAAAAACCAACATGATGACCCAACATGCAAAATGGACTTTAAAAAAAAAAAAAATGTACCCACTGTCAAGTTTCTACAGACCTTTTATTAATTTTCTATTTTTAAAATAAGGAGACAAAGACCGTTTCCAAACAATGTCATGTGTTTGACAACCTTAGATCCAACACACAGCTCAATGGAAACCTGACTATTGCCATCATTCTTCCATTCTCGTCATCTAATCAATTTAAAATCCGGTAAAACAACCGTTTTCTGCTCTCCAATACACACACACGCACACACAAACGAACGCACACACAGATACACACACGCACACTTCAACAGAAGAGCAGGAAAGTCACTTTGTTATTAACCAACAACCCTCGGCCTGGTTCCAAACTCTGGAGTTGAGCTTCTTGGTGGTCGGACTAAACACACGTGACAGCCAAAGTTCTCCCAAACCCCTCTGCTGGCCGTGGTCAGGTTCCCACCCTTTTCAACATGCTCTCAAACACAAATACAAACTCAATATATTGCAAATACATGTGTACACATATATACAAATAGAAGCAACCCCTCCAACGCTGGTGAGGGGGAAGGGGGGGGCTCAATGTTTTATAATGCATCAGTTTTGTATATGCCAAGAATAAAACTTTTCTAAATAAAATACATAGTTATCTGTGAGGGAGGGGGATGAGGACAGCAGATGAACGGAGGAGGAAGAGGGTGGGGCGCGCCAGGAGTGTCAGGAGGGAAGCCATTGTGGAGAGGATGATGAAACGGAGGAAGAAAGCAGAGATGAAAGAGGGAGACGGACGGAGAGGGAAGTTGCCTCTCCCGTTCTGTGTGGCTGCTTCTGGGCACCGCTGTGCGCCACCGGAACACTCCAACCCTCCTTTATTTCTTGAAATCGTCCATTAATAATATTAATGATGACCAAGACAACGCTAAAAAAAAACAAAAAACAAATCATTTATATATAAACCCCCGGCCACGTCTCACAACCGTAAGTCCAGAAAAAGTGGGGAGGCCTGGTCCATGAGTTCGTCTGAGAAAAAACCGTGATGCAGGGGGAATCGACGAAGAAAAAGAAGGAAATCGCAGAGACGAGAGAGGCCTGACGAATGGGACGGGCCGTGTGAAGGAAGTGGCAAACGAGATCAACTACACAAGTGGAAAAAGAAGGCAGGGAGGGGGACAGAACAAAAACAGCACAGGCAGGATGTTCTATAATGAATAGGAAATAAACAGCAAAGAGGAAGTTGAGATGAAACAGACAGGATGTCGAAACCGAAGATGAGCTGTGCTGGGGCGTTGTGATCCACACACTGGTGTCCTTCACAGAAGATTGGTGGAAAGCATGAAGTGATGACAACATGGCCTCACTGTGAGTGCGCGCCCTCTCCTTCCCTCTAATCAAGGGAAAAGATCAGCAGTCTTCCCCGCGCTGGTTGTTCGTCCCCAGGTGCATCATACCTCCAGGAAGCGTGAGCTGCTGGCCTTGGCGTGAAAGGGCTCGGACCACATGCGCCGCAAATCCCCCTGAAGACCACACACACACACACACACACACACACACACACACCATTAGGACACCAGTCACGGGTCCTGTTCCATATTCTGGAGAAAAAGGCTTTCTCCCTAACATGGGGCCTTATTTCTACAAAGCATAATGCATCATTTCAGACGTGTAGATTATCTGCTAAATTCAGCAAAACATCAACATCCTTCCGGAGGAAAATAAATCGATAAATCGATTGACTCCCGTCCTGACAGTTCACCTTCAGGTAGGCCATCGTGAGCAGAGGCAGCAGGGTGAAGGGGACCAGGTAAAGAAGAGCGGGCTGCGCGGCACGATGGATCCTGGAGGCCACTGTGGCAGTTAGCAGGCCTGAAAAGACACGGCGCGTTACCAGGAGAAATAAATACGGAGGATCAACGTGCACAGGAGCACGGCGTGTGTCAGCAATGACCAAAACCGTCACCTTGACCTTTCACGTCCATCTGCCCATTGATCGGTTGCTTACCCACAAAGTATCCAATGAGAGTGCAGTGGAAATAGGAGACGCGCTGCATGCGTCCGGACATGTTACCCGGCCCCGGGACTTCCCCTGTCGCCTGCTTCTTGTAGTTATCGTAACGCAGGACGAAGCACAAGAGCAGCCCCGGCATCACAATGTCTCCTATTCCCAGCATGGAGAAGTGACTTCCTGTGGAGCTGCGGAGATGCAGAGAGCGGAAACAGAGCTGAAACCCTAAACGCAAAAGACCAGGGAGCCACTGTGGCTTCCCAAAACAGATACACTAATGCACGTGCGAGTCAGTATTTCATCACCTCTTTCTGAAATCAAACTCGGGGTTAAAACCACACGCGAAACTGAAACTAGATGTGACAGCTGTGACACGGCTATAGTGCTCATTAGAGCAGGAAGAAAAACCCTGACACAGAAAAACAATGTGGCAATAATAAGTGCACCACCGCGGGTGTGCAGGCAGCTGCTCCGCGTCTGCCACTTACTGCTTCACTCATTCATCCCACACTTGTTAAAACAGATTACGTTTTAACATCCTCCACTGCTAAAGCCAAATAAACACGTTTTCTTAGGACAGGCGTCCTGCTGCCGGAGACAAGAAAAGATTTGGACATAAAGGGTCCGCCGGCGGTGGGAAGGACAACTTTGGAGCAGCCGGTTCTGATCTGATGACCTCCAAACAGCAGCGTGTCCTAAATGAATCTGATTTTTCCCGCCGTGTGTACATGGCCGCAGAGGGCTAAATGAAAGGAAGTGTTGGCTAAGTGGAGGCTTAGCTGTGTGTGACTAAGCCCTGTGGAGCTGAGGCGCACATCTCTTCATAGCATTTACCCAACCCAAGACATTAGATATTAAAAGCTCCGCCTGCCTGAAAGAGGATGAGAGAGCTCTCAAAGATCATACCTTCCACTAATTTCACATCCGGGAGTAGTGCCTGAAGGTTTTTGAACGGTGTGGGACTGAAATAAATATCACCTTAAAACCCAACAAATGTACACCAGAGCGATAAAGGCAGATAACTGGATCCCAAGGGAACTAATGAGACCAATTCATTCCATTCAGTTGCGGATTTATTTATCTTAATAATCGGCTGTTGCGTGTTCTGGAGAAAAAAAGAAAAGAGAGGAGCACCTTCCAGGTGTTCTGAATTATCTAATAAAAAAAAAAAAAATGGGACTACAAATGCAGTTTTTCTTGCTGTCGTATTTTGAGGAACAGTGGCTGCATGTACGTAGATATTGGCAACAAAAGGATGATTTACATTTCCCAGTCAGTTAAAATTAGTATCACCAGACACATCAGCACAACTTTCCCTTGCATAAAAAATAGATAAAATAAAAAAAATCAGACAATAAGTCCTCATACCGGGCTGTATAAAGGTGAGAAAATGCCCGTCCTTTAATAAACACATTATTTTATCTTTTTTCCTGCTTCCTTGTGTGATCCAGAGTAGGGTGACAGTTTTGCCTCTAATTCATCCCCAGGACTGGATATGCGTTCCTTAGTGAATAAACCCTTGTTTAGTTTGGTCACTTTTGTCTGCTTTGAGGAAAAAGGTTCAGGAGCTTTGATGCCCAACTGTAATGTTATGCAAGTATTACCTTGGAAAGACCAGTTTGCCGGGTAAAGACAGGCGGGGAACATCGCGCCCCATCCCCGGTCCCAGGTGCAGCTTCCTGGAGAGAACATCTATCGGGTTTTCAGCAGGCTGGGTGGCCACTTTGACCATCACGTTACTGTTGAAGATGTAGGCTGAGAAAAACACCTGAAGGGAGACAGCAGGGAAATGGATCAGCTCCAAAGAAGCACAGCTAGAAAACTGTGATGGACTTCCGAGGCACACCCAAAGTATGCAAAGTTTTTTTAGTTTTTACATGATGACGCAACGAAAATGTGGGAAAAACATTCTGGGCTAAACTCAGAATTTCATTGCACGTTCTCATAAGCAAATGAATGAGCCTCTTAAGAAAATTCAGTTTTAGAAGAAAAAAAACGAACACCCTAATAGTTTGATAATAGTTTCCAAATAAATCTATTCTGGTAATCATCTGTTACTATCTTAATTAAAAAAAGAAGATCAATCAATGTGCCAAATGAGTTTCAACAGTTCTGTGTCCAAACACTCTTTAAAGGTCTTTAGGAAATCATTACTTTGTGGAAAAAGAAAAAGAAAAAAAAGAGTGCGCTTATCTGTTGATAAAGGTTGGATGGAAGCACTTTCTTACCCAGAAAACATCATAAATGAGTAGTCCTGACAGCAGCAGGCAAGACACCTTCAGACTGGGGAGCCGAACGAAGGCTATCATGGCGACACACAAACCCATTGCCAGTGCTGAGGGAGGGAGAAAATGTGTCAGTTACACATCTGAAGTGCTACTTCACATTAGAATTTTAGTTGAGACAAGCAAAAAAAAAAAGCAAGAACAAGAACTAAATGAAAACCCTTCATTACTCAATCGTGTTTTAAAGCAAACTGATACCAGGGAGGTAGTTTAAAAAAGGAACTAGCTCTATGTGTGAGTGGCTTTCCCCCAGAGCAGCACTGACAAAAAACTGAAGAAAAAAAAGAGACAAAAAACAACTTCTCCCCCTGCTAGCATGCTGCTGCAAAAGCCTGAAGACATGCTGCTAAAATCTTCACACCAAATGAGTCACACCAAGTTCCCTCTTCTGCAGAGAGATGATGAAAACTGAATTTTCATATATTTTTCAGCAGCTCGATTCCAGAACGGCACCTCGAGCAAGTTTTTTAAGCCATTCAGTGCTGATAGGATAGCATTATTCTGGCTTTAACTGCCGTCTAACAGCACCTTTATATGCGTTTATATGTGCAGACCCTGGTGTAACCTTCTTCAAAACATCTCTGAATGAAAATCTGATCCGAGTTGGTGATTTGCTCTGAATTCATTTGAATGGGGGAGACTTGGTCCTGACACGCTGCCAGTAGAGCCCAGGCTGAGTAACGCACCGTCCATGAGGAGCCAGTGTCCCGTCAGCACCCAGATGAGCACCAACATGACCGACAGCGAGAAGGACAAGAGTTCAGCCAGGGTGAAGCGCCCGCAGCAACCAAACGAGATCCTGCGTTAAAGAGAGCACACGTGGGAGAGGTCAGATATGGTCGCTCGGCGGGAAAACGCACACCAGCTTTCACACGTCAACACTGAGTAGGTGATGCACGCTGCACAACCACAGCGAGAATGTGCCTGATGAAAAAGAGCTTTGATTCAGTTTATGGATAATTGTTAGATAAACAATCCTGCTGCCTTCAGAGAAGAAGCTCTCATGGAGTTACGATTTTCAATCCACAACATTGTTATAGATAAGTCCCCTAGAAAAGCACTATATGATGAGATATGCAACATTACTGAGGTGCTGCAGCTTATCAGGGGCCGTAAAACCAAGGGGGATACAGGGGTGGAGAGCTATGACTTATTTACTGACTGTGGGCGATTTCTTCTTCTATGTTTCCGCTTAAGGCGGGAACAACTAGCTTATTCTCAATAACCCCATGAACTTTGTATATTAATCTATGTGAGAAAAATGTTGAAAAGCAGACAGAAAATATTTCCCATACACTGACTGTGGTTTGAAGCAGTGTATCCGCTGTCAGAGTGAGAATACACAGCTTTCTAATAAGACCGGACTTTTGACTCATAGTTGAAATTCTGTAAGAAACATTGAACAGCACAAAGGCCCGTTACAAAGGCATACAGAAAACTGAAAATATCCATGACTTCCTTACTTGTTCTGTGGGGAGCAGGGTCTGGTCAGATACTGGCACATTGGCAACAGGAGGAATGCAAATGCAATTGTAGCAAGAACTGAGGAGAGGAACAAAGGCACAGCAGTGAGAACTTCAGTCTAATACGCCGAGACTGCTCGTTTGAACCATTTGTCTATTTAAAGGAGCTGGTAATGGTTCTCAGATTCAATGCTCACTGCAGTAAAGTGATCTTCCCCGGTGCGTAAATACTGCTCAGAAATGGGAAGAAGTCTCCAACAGCAATGTTTTTGTGTTGAGCTCATGGGCGGAACTTACCTGCAGTGCAGATGGTGAAGACCACCTGTACCGAGTCAAAGAAGAAGAACATGACTAGCAGAGACACGGACGCTCCTATTGGCAGAAACAAGGCCTGCGTCGAGTCTATAGTCTGAATGCCTGAAAAACCGTTCAAACAGAGACACAAGAAGCGGGTATGAGCAGCGAACCAGTCGTTTCTGTAAGCCGTGCACCAAAAGCGGTGCAGTATTACTTACTGTTGTTTGTGTTGTTGTTATTAAAAGCACCTGTTGTTGTTGGGTTACCATCTTTGTCCTTCTCCTGGTTCTCACAATCCATGTTTAATGACCTGAAAAAAAAAAAAAAAAAAAGACAATAAGGTGAGATTCTGATTCGACAAATCAAATACCACACGAGTAAACCATCACTACACCCCAGAAGTAATAAATAAGATATAAAGTTTCCATCCCGAACTTCGTGAAAGGTCATGCACCTTGCGCTCAAAGGCTACAGTTTGCGGGACTAATTAAAGATATTTTATCCATTTTAGAGGAGGAAAATGCTTTTAGATAAAGTAATTAGATTTCTAGTGAAACTGCAACATGGAGAGACAACACGATCAGAATAAAATTAATGTACAATAAATGCATTAATCAAAAGAATGTTAAGAAGGATTTACACTATATAGAAACAATAGCTTTTAGGTGTTTAGAAGACACTTCACAAAGCCAGTTACAAGATTACAGGTTTCAGAAACATTTAGGCAACACAATTTTTGTGTTTTCAGGTACAACTTCCAGGTTATGGTAAAGATAACACACATGTCAAGTTAATGCAGATTTTTGGGAAAACATTCATTCACAAAGTTTGATGTAGTTTATGAGACATAAATGCTTAACTTAATATTAATAAAATTTATTCTAAGCCAGATCAATACAACATATCGCACATAACATTGGTCATTTTCAGCTACGTCACTAATAAGCTTTAAGGGCACAAATTCCAAGATACCAAAATATATTTAATAGTTAGAACGTGAATAGATAAAAGTGATTGTTTCCATGTCACTTTAAGTCAGGATTGATTAACATAAACTTCTGCTTTATATAGTTTATTTGTGACCTTACTTTGTCTTTTATAGTTGTGAGAGTAAAAATCCTGCTGGTACCTAATGCAGTAGAGTTTGTTCAATTATCCACAAGTTCCTTTCTAAATGCCGTTGGCCAGATGTGACACAAACAAATTATGTGGGCTGCCTCTCTCTTATTGAGGTCAGTCAGATGGACTTCTCTTAAGATTCCAGTTGATTTGGGCTTGTTTTCATAATTGGGGTCTCTGTCATGAGACTTGGCAACATTAGCCCCATTTAAAAAAAAAAAAAAGTTTGCCGTTTTGGGCGTTCCTCATGCAAAAGGATACAGCGATTAAGGTTTTTGATGAGCACAAACACCCCATAGGGAGACATGAGCAGAAAATGCTTCATGAAGGAAAAAGTGAAATAAATATCCTATCTGTGACTTAGGGAAACACTATAATTAGAAAATTGTCTTTAAGTAAGGTGAATGGCCATATTGCGGATATTGAGTCTGTGTAGACATCCTGTCTGGAATGTGTGTTGAGGGCAAAACTGTTCCCACGCAGGGGTATTTTTCTACTTATGGAGACTTTCTGTACACATCACAGTACGTGAATGAACCTGGTTTATGACCTCCGAGAATAACTACATGCCATAATCCAAATCCCATAAGCAATTTACCATTTTATAAGGTTTACACTGAAACCAATAAGCGATGGTAATATTTTAATTAAACTCAGATCAATCAAAGCACTCCAAAGGGCAAATTAATGTTTTCTATAAACAAAGCAAAACTTTGGACTCGAACGAAGTAGGACATTTACATTAGTGCATTGGCTTTACTAATGCGACCAACAAAAAGTGCATTTTCAACTTAAAGAGCATTTTAAATGGAGTATTTATTGACGCTTACCTGAAGCTGCCATAGACGATAAGAAGGATGGAGATGAGGAAGGTGGACACCTGACTGGAGTCGACTAGGGAGTAGGCCCTAAAAACAAGACATGAATGAGAGAGAAATTATGTTTAAGGGGGAAAAAATAGACACTTGATACAAAACGTCTTACTGAATCATTGAACTTGTTTACATCCCTGCTTAATAGAAACAGAAGGAAGTTTTCAACACATTAAATAAAGAACAGCTACAACAAAAAGGCCTCAACACCACAGAGGGGTTTCTGCTGGTCAGAAAGGTGAATCCTTTTCTCTCTACTAATCTTTATTCTGTAAAAACCTTCCAGGTATGTATGCAAGAAAAGCAAGAACATTATTTATTCTGAACTGAATATTTAGCATTTCCGACAGCAGACACAAATGTTCATTGTGGCTCCCCAACAAAAAGACTCAGGAGAGCTGAACCTGTAAACTAACAGATTTAAGTCAGCGTGTCAGAATCAAATTGACTGCAGTTACATTAATATTAAGGAGGATTATGGAAGAAAAAGTAAGAATTTTCAGTCTGGTAAATTTGAAGGGAAGAAAATGTCACCCTTGACACGGTTTGACTGCAGTTATGCAAATAGAACTGTATCTGGAAATAAAAGCTGTTTTTTCAAAACAACAGTCAAAATATCGTAATCATCCAATTAGTTCCATTTTTCAAGCCAGCATCATGATATAACAAAAATGGAAACAAATATTAAACTGCAATTTCAGATTGAACAGTATGAAAACGCATTAAAATTCTATCAAAACACAAGACACTGACAAAGAGTTCTTTCATTCCAGGACTTAAAGTTACACAGCACAGCATGTGTAAACTAACCAAGCACTATGGTGATTTTATACAAAGGCCTTCGTATTGTGCAAAAGGGGGGAACTGGGTCAGCAGAGTTTAGTTTATCCACTGCAGTGCTGTCACAACAGCAGACCCTATAATGTCAGGAAATCTAATATCCCTCTTTGGAACTATGAGAACTTTAAATAAGAAAAATATCACGGATAAATGAGCTATTAGTGCATAACCCAATGGTACTGAATATGACAAAGAAGGCTGTGGGGACACACAACAAACAACTAAGCTGCAGGAAGGAGGAACAATTCAATAGTCAAATTAGAATCACAAATTCCGAGACATTTTTTAGAAGAACTCTGGGGAAAAAGTATTGATTCATAAAATATATATAAAAAAAACAATCCATCAGGTAAAAAGGAGGCACAGTTGAAGACCCTGTGGGAACTGTCTACCAGTGAAGCCGGGGGATGCTTCACTTCAGTTTTGGTTAATATCAAAACATTTTTACATTTACTTTATTTTGAAAAACCAACACTGCCAGCTCCATCCTGCCTGCAAAGCTGCAACAGTTATGCGCTGCTTGTAGGAAAACTAGACAGTCCGGAATAGAGGGAGGTACCTTCCTTAGGCACTGAAAGAAAGGTACCCAAGGAAGGTTAACATTTTGTTTGAAACGGCCATAATGGTCGTGTCACTGGAGGCGTCATTGGGTATACAGGCCTCTATTTCTCTAGGCCCACAATGGTTTCCACATCAGCCCAGCCATGACCCTCTAATCCAATTGCCTAAGAAAAGACTGGCATTGTAAGATGCCTTTTTTTAAAACTGAGAGGTCCAAAATTGACTCTTCTCCTCACCTCGTGTCTCAAGAAAACAGCAATGAGGAGGATATAAGTGGAGTTTTAGTCATCTTTGCTTGACCTGGGAAAAGCCATCAAACCTGTTTGAAGTCGAGTTTAGGAGATAGACAAACAAATTTCTTAATGCAGTTCCTGGTAATTTAGACGCTAAACTACCTGTATGTGTAGTACATAAAATGTCTGGTCATTGGCAAAGAGGCCTCAGAGTGAGTAAAAAAGTGGTTGATGTAGTCTGAACAGGAAATCCACACTGGCCACAGCTCAACACTGGGTTAGTTACATTAAAGACTGAGAGATTGGGCTCCAAAAATAATCATCACTTTCAATCAACATCCTATTTTAGTACTTCTAGCTCCTTTCCCCATGTGATAATTGACATGCATTAAGATTACATTTTTTGTGGTTTGGTGCGATTAAACTGAACTGGAAGCTCGCAACCGCAGCTGCTCAGTGGGAAATAATAAAAAGATTTCCCTCTTAGTCAAAAATGTTGCCCTTAACTTCAAGTTCTCTTCTGTTAAACAGACTTTGAACAAGTGTATTAGGACCTAATGTAATCTCAAACATAACTTCAATCGTTGATCACTGGAAATTGAATTGGATAAAAAATTTTTTACTGTTTTTTTCCTTAGGATTTGATTAAATAACTAATGAGCTTTTCATCAGTGGCGCGGGAATAGCAATAGGGAGTCTAGGTGGGGAGAGGTAACATGTAGTTCATCGGGGAAACAGGACACCACCACAACTCTGCATCGTGCAGCTTTGCCCTGGTAGAGCCTGTATTTAGTTTATCCAAGACAGGCCTCTACTTAACGGCTGAAAGCCACACTCCACAGGCATCATTTTTACAGCTACATCCAGTTACAATAGACCCAGTATATTTGACCCTAGATGTGGGTCACAAAAAACAATATATCTGGTCCAAATATGACACCCTCATCAGTCAAGCTGTCCTTTTGTATGTTCCAACCTTTAAGAGCTGCCCGTCTTACAAACAGTTTGGCTTCAAGCATTAAAAGCTGTGGTTAAGAAAGTGACCTTGTTCTTCCACTCTGACACTAATGATGTCACTACTTCACTGTCACCACGACAGGCAAGTGGACGGCTAGTTTAATCTACCACAGCACTCATTCATATTCTGGTATCGAATGGGTTCGTCTGAATTCTGTGCACAGAAGCCTGTAGGACATGAGTGAGATAGATGAATGGAACATTTAAAAACAAAATACAATCCCGGACTGTTGAGAACTGGCGGGCAGCCCAAAGTGCCATAAGACGTCCTTGTTCCCTGACAGACTTGGTTTTCAAATAACACAATTCCAATACCGTCCTCCATCAAACCGGCTCCATGCATGACTTGACCACTAACAGCCAGGTCAACAGGCCACAGTGAAGACCTTTACAAATGCCGCCACTGTGAGGGCGTGACATGTTTGACCGCCAATCTTTCGAAGACATCGACCATTACACATTCCCACATGGATTTAGAAGGGAAATTGTGAGCATGTGGTTCAACCTGATTGATTCATTTGACAGAATTTCTCCTGGATCTGCATTTTGGAAATATCTTGTTTTCAGTTTTTCCTGAATATAATCTGGGTATGTTAAACAGGATGACAGTATTCCAAGGAAAATAAATTTTTTTGCAAAAAAAAAGTTTCATTTCACATTCCTCCACAGATGGAATGGAGGCATTACAGGAATCAAAACTTGCCAGGAGGGTTGATAATTTGAAGTTTACTTTCAACACGGCCGTGTGTAGTTGTGGCAAACGTCTTCCTATCTGCATTATGTGACTCAAGACATGTTTTATCTGATGAGTTTGTCCAAATTACCACAGGCTTTGGATCATTGGCCAACAAATAATTTTATTGTTTTTTAAACCTCCAAACAGGGATTACCATTTATCTGCCTCCTCTTCCTTACACCAATCCTGGACATGCTGGGTTAGCTGGCATGAACGCTCCAGCAGGTTAACTCTGTTCTGAATGCGAGTCAAATGAATTCTGTACAAAAATGGACTATTTGCGATGAGTAAAGTCTCATTTAGGTCGAGAGAAAAGCTAAGGTCAAGATATAATACTGTTAATGTTGTCAGAGCTCATTAACGCTGTAGAGTTGGTCTCAGGTCTCCCTGCATAAACACTAACAGCCCCCTCAGGTTCTTAAGGATCTTTGTGGTGGCATTGTTCGGACTACTGGCGACAGGTGCTTTAGTCACCTGTCTGATTCACACACAGTTTGCTGTGTGTCATCACCTACTAGAGAAAACCAAAGATGCTCACAAATAGAAGTCTTTCATAAACTTGCATTACGGGCTGAAAACCGCATTAAAGACAAAGTGTAAACAGTTATTTAGTGGTGTTGCATGAATGACTGGTCAACAGTGTCAACAATAGTGGAGCCTAAACTGGACTTGTGCTATAATAGGATTTAAGGCTTACACATTAAGTCATTATGACCTGATGCAACATATGCACGCTTTTACCTTTGAGGCCTGATGTGACGTGGATGTTACATCAATGCTTGAGGGCAAATGAGAACATTAACACAGGAAAAAACAAAGTTTAGAAATATAAGAGCAACAACAGCTCTCTAAATACATTTAAAAAAAGAAAGTTTTACTCTTTCTCCATCCTATTCTTCAATGGCTGAGAATCATTCTATGGGCAAATTGATTTGTTAAACAAGTTTTTCCAGCAGGTTCAAAAACCTGTTTTCTAATGGGTGACTCTTCTTCCTTCACATGAAATATACTTCACATGAGTCAGGTTAATGTTTAGCTAAGGCTGTTCTTATTTTATTGTATATAAACAATAGCTAAGATGATGGATCGACATCAACAGGACACTTTCCTGATGGTGCCTAAATTGACTTTAATCATGCTCACCACAGTCAGATGAGGTCTCTAAACATAAATGGGGACATGTGCATATCCATTTGCTCCTTCACACAGTGATGACACACATATGTAGTCCACATATAATCCTCAAATGAATTTCAGGACATTAGTGCCCACCAATTCTTGTATAGATTTAATATTATTTTGTGTTGGTTTATCTAAATGAGTTTATGGGCATGATCAATCACAAAAGTAGTTTATTACGTTTAAGTTCAAATGATTTGTTTTACCTTCTCGAAAGTAAATGGAAATCATTTTCCAAATTTTGCTTCTATGTAAAGGGGACAAAGTCACCAATGGCAGAGCCCCACTAAGGCACTAGGAAGTAAACCTCTGTGCTTTTTGACCACAGAAACCTTTTCTTTTGACTACAGGAGGGAGTATTTGATGGGCATTTTGTTTCCACAGTACTGGGATTTCTGCAGAATGTGGTTCACAAACCATAACCCAGTTGTACAGTCAGTAGTTACTGCACTTTGCATACAAAGTAAAACACCATAGAAAAATACCACTGACACATTTATCATCTTAATGTCAATTAATCTGTATTCATTAAGTCTCTACTCTGGGACAGCTGTTCATACGGGATACCATCAGAGCAAGTATTACCCTCACTTCACCTTTGATGTGATGTTTAAGATGCTCTTGCTTAGAGAGCATGCACTTTAGGTGGTTGCGAAACCGAGAGAAGAAGTGAAACTGGACATGAAACATCACCCGCGATTCCTGCTGATGTGAAGGCTCTTGGTGTTGCCTTTAAACCATAATCTGCCAGTTTTCAAAGATTATTCACATTTGCAGAAGCCTGTAAAGGGCATGTTGAGTTAAACTCTGTAGTGATTTATTCAGCCAGAAAAATAGGGGATAAAAAAGCAACACAAAGAAATAAATGTAGACAATGTGGCATCCAAACAAATAGGTTTTGGGGATTTTCCACTTGGTGGGTGTTCTTCAATCGCAAGCGTGTCTGACTGGTCAAACGTGAACATTGGCAGTGGTTTAAAAGTGTTCTTTTACAAGTGAATGAAATACATCTACTTACAAATGATGTGTTTCTCAGGAAGAGGGGGGATAGTGGATACGACAGTCGTACGAGGAGGACGCAGTTCTCTGCTGGATTTGTGCTCCGATTGTGTGACAAGCAGCAGACAGGCTACGGTTTGCAGTTTAGAGCCACAGGGATGACAGGGAGGATAAAGAGGAGATGACTTCTTACGGGCTGGGCAACAAAACGATTGCAAAATTAGATTGCCATTAAATTTACGTCGATCTCTGTGATCTGCATGAGACGTCTTGAGCTGCTCCATCCACAGAGCGGGCTGTGTGTACGTCTACAGGCACTGCACTCACTGGCTGGCATTAACACCGCCATAACCTGGTAGCCACATGTTTTCTTTTGTGCAAGTGAAAAGTGGAGTGGGTGCTTAAAACAACACAAAAAAACAACCATCCAAACCAAAAACATAATTCATGGTCTTAAATAGAATGAATTACAAATGTTTGACAGTAAAACAGAAGCTTTAGAAATGTCAATGGGTGAACATGCAGAGTTTATGGGCTGCTATTCACGATCAATTTTAGATTCGATTTTCGATCTGACACCAGAAACAGGAAAATGTCACTGAGAGAAGCTCTATTGGGAGATCAGCCATATTAATACAATATCTGAATGCCGACTGAAGAAATATTGCTCGATAACAAAGCCTCTTCATTTCCTGTTCAGTTATCACAAAGAGGGAGTCCAGCTAATCACTTCCTGCAACTTGAGAAAGCCCACCAACTGACAAACACCAAAGTCCGTTGTGCAGCAAACCCCTCGTTCACACAAATGCGCCCAAACCAACGGTCTGCCCACACAGCAGCACTTGTCGCACAGGAATCCCACAACGACATGAAGAAGATATCTCATTATGGCAGTTGCTGGCTTTTCCTCTGTGCCACTGACCAAACAGAAGCAGGATAGCACTTTGTGCTCAGAAACATCAGGCTGGCATTGCGCAACTAAATTGACATTATCATTATCCAAGGAAAGAGACGTGTCTGATCATGCCATCTCTCCCGGACACAGAACCACTGAAGTGGCTCTGTAACCGTCTGTGCTGAGAGATAGATCAACAGTGACCTCCATACCACCACTGTGGAAAATGACATTAACAAAACCAAAAACCCTCCTAATAAAACGAAAATGCAGATTCAAAAATCAAACCAATAAAATTGAATTTTTGGGAATATGCACAGCTAGAATGTCACAGCTTTTTGACAACAAAGTTATCATTTATCTTTATAAAAACACTGGGAAACCAGGGATACATCCAAGTATTATTCAGGTCCATTGCTAGCTTGCGAATAAGGTCATGTTGAAACTAATATTCAACAGGGGTTAAAATCAGTCAGACTGAAATTCAGGTGGTCTGATTTGAAAGGTTTTGCACATTGACATGAACTGTAGTGGGTAAACCATGATGGAATTAAATGAGCCATTTTAAGGTTTGCTTCATTCTGAATGAATTCTGTCAACTCAAATGAAAGCAAATAGTTATTTTAGACCACAATATAGCAACACACAAGTGCAAGCACTTTTAAATATCTGAGAATACTAAATTGTAATTTGCCATACACACATGCATAAGGGGTGGATAGTCCAAACCAATTTCTAACTCAAGGAAATGCCGGGCAACTATGAAGATAAAATAAATAAAGTTGTCGTTTTGGTTTAAGAAAAATAACCAGATCAAGTTTTCTAACACATGTTCGCATTCACAAACCACAAAAATAAACCCATTTAAACTAACAACATACACAGGATCATTTTTATGCTGCCAGAAGGTGAATTTGACATTTTCTGTTTCTCAACTTGTGCTGACACAGCACTGTTTTGCCTTACATTTGCCTAGTTTGCATTAAACTTGTCTAAACAACATATATAAAAGCTCCCATTTCAAACATTATCTCCATCTGGCATCATTATACACATTGATTCCACATTTCTTATCTAGATATAGGTAAGCATGAGGTGACACCAAGATTTCAATCACACAAAATATCTTTGTTCTTGTTAACACTTTGTTCTGTTGTTGGCATTGCATCAATCCAGGCTTGATTTTATGGCTCTAGATTCTGTTTCAGGAGCCTTAACAATATACAGGGCCACAGACCAATCCCAGTCAGGGTGTGTTCTCCATCCTGCTATCGTCTGTACCCACTTAATCCAATTTAAGTTTGTAGGGGGTTGGAATCTATCCAAGGTGCCACTGGGCCAAAGGTGGGGTACTCTCTGGACAGGACAGGTCACCTGTTCCAGGGGCAAGCACACTTACACTTACTCCTAGGGTCAATTAAGAAGCATTATTTATTATCCTAACATCCATGCTTTTGGACAGTGGGGATGAAGAATGAGTATCCAAAGAGAGCCCAGACATCCAGTTAGAGACCATGCAGAATGCAGAGAATTTGCATTAACTGGATCCCAGTCAGATGCAGTTGGTTTTATCCAGCGTTTAAAGCAAACTTTACTTTTATTTGGTCGTCTTGTATAAATTAAGCCCAGTGAAACTAAACATAGATAAAAGTTCAGGTATACCCACATGAACCTGAATTTACATTTATCTCACATACAGGTACTAATAGAGACCAGGCAAGTGAGTTGTGTGTGTAAATTAAAAATTTAAAGCCTAAGAATACTAACATTTTTATTCAAGTTGTTGCTCTTTTTCTGTGCACAATTAGTCAAACAGGGCAGTTTTGTAACAGGATGTTATAACCAATATTAAGATTGACACTATGGGACACTGTGAATGATGTATGAAATATGGCATTTCAAGAAATAAATCAAACTAAATAAATAAACTAAAAGATCAGCTGCAGAATAAGCCTTGTGTGCTCTTGGGCGTCATATAAAATTAAATGTTATCTTAAGACTTAACCGCTGATAATCTAACCGACATAAATCAGACAGGCCTTGGTAAAGTGATCATTTAGATTGAAGGCGACTCTTTTCCCATCAAAACCTATATATTTCGGACCTTGACATTCAAACGCAACTATAACCATGATGTATAGATATGTGCATGACCAATCCCACATATGAACGTTTGAGTCTATATGCTGCGGTAGAAGTAAAAGGATACTGAAACAGCTATTTTAGTGACGTGACTGCGATGCTAGTTTCGCAGAACCTTTGTTATTGTGTGCAGTCAGTGGGTCGACGACAAATGTTAGCAAGCCAATGCTAATCTGTTGGCAAAGCTAATGCCAACTATGCTATCTAACACACACTTGTAAAGTCGTACTCATAGCCCAAAAGGACGTTTTTCAGAAATCCGGTGATTATGTAGAGAACACCCGAATGATTTCCCAACTAACAACACCACTGAACATTTCAACCCGTAAACAGGAAAGCTAGCTCTTTAGCATTCGCTCACAATAGCATCATTTGATTTGTCCGCAGCAGAATGAAGCTAGCACAGCACTAGCCGCTGCTAGCTAACCAGACTGGTACAGCTAGCCTTTAGCAACAACGGGATGCAAGACAAAATGTGTATGGTTGTGTGATATTTTGCCTTCTAGGCGGTTAGAAAGGCATCTGAAATAGTCAGCTCGGCAGTCCAATTATTTGTGTAAATTGACAGAGATGCAGTGCATTGACTTAATGAACAAATGCAATCAGTAGCTGCAGCTAACATTGGGTAGCTACTACTAGTTGGTAGCAAAACGCCTGTGCGCACTCACCAAGATGAGTAGCCTTGCTCCGCCATATCGCCGAAAACAGTGGGTTCCGCGGCTGTGGCTAACACAGATTCAGGTCCCGGTGACAACCCGTTGGGACCTGGGAGAGGGTTTTCTGCGTTTCCTTTCACAATCCGACGTCCTAGCAATTACTTTTAGGTGACAACATGATGATACATCCTGGAAGCAGCTAGTAATCACTAGCTGGATTCCTTGCAATTTAAATGAAAATGATGGTTTGCTATCGTTAGGTGGACAAGACAAAGCACCCCGAGAAAAACCACAGATGTTGTTTTCGTCGGTTTTTGCTAATGTCCTGCCGTCACCCCAGCCGAGAAGGCTCGGTCTCCAACGATGTTACACCCACTGTAAATCCATATTCTGTGTGATGTAGCCAGAATAAATTCGGATAGTCCTCACGCCTGCACCCCTAGCTGATATGGAAGACGTTCAGCTTTGTTTTCTATGGCGAGTCCACGGGAACGCGCAAAATCGCCCTGCTGTAGAGGTTTACAAGTAGGACGTACACTGAAGCGCTTTCATGCACTCCAAACGCGTGCAATGGTTTCCCCTCAGCATTGCAGCCTTTCATACACCTCTCCAACTAAAAGCTGAGAATTACGTCGACTGAAAAATGACATATTGTGTAACCAGAAAAGATAAACGTATTCATGTAGTCAAAATACAGTTTAAAAATACACGTCAATTCCCCCCAAATCCGAACAACTCCTTAACGTAGAAGTAATGGATGGATCGTGTTAATGGTTAAAGACGAAATAGTATAAATGGTATTAGATTAAAACACGCTGTGCTGAATCTGACTGAACCAATGGCGAGTTTTCACGACAGCCTGTTGATTTGCATAGTCACAAATGTTATCTCTGTCCGGTGAAACGAGTTCAAAACAGAAAATATAATATAACAGAAATAAGTCAAAACAAACATTACAACCACAGTGATGACTGAAATGTAAAGTGTATGAATTTATGAGTTGCACACAACATCCTGTGGTTTAGACAGTCCTTTCAAACCCATAAAAATCACCCAAATTCTTGTTTTCTGTTTGTCTCCGATTAATATGTTGATTATTTGAAACTTTACTGAAGCCAGGATTTTGCTGATAAAAAGTCATTAAGAAGACTGAAGACAATGCTAAAAACATCTGGACAAATGTTTCCACTCACACCTATATTCTTTTAAAGCAGAACCCCATTCAAATGTTATACAAAACAATTTTCATAAAATACTTCATGTTTTCAGCTGGCAGCTTTTTCGGTTTAATTGCAAAGCAAATATTTGCATCTTTCTTTATTTGATAGATTCACTTGAATAAATCATGCATCTTTGTAGCAGTGTGGTGGTAACAAATAGCTACAAATTACAATATCCCAAACTTGGTTGTTCACTAAGATGTCTGTTCCATTTGGCGTTTACTCTGGGTGGGTGCTGAATGCATTTAGCTGCAATCTGCCCATTAACCTTGATCCCCTGAAGAGGACATTTCAAGCAGATGGTAATCAGGTCAGAAAGCCCGGGAGGTCACCAAAAAGACCTCCAGGGAGGGAATGAAGTTTGGGGGAATGATAATCAAGAAAAAGAAATTCAGCAGAAGGTGAGGTGTGCAAACCTAATTAATGTGCTGGAGAGTAATCATGAATGTCAGTGAATTCCTCAGTGATCTGTGTGGTAGATTTGTTCAACAGATCTGGTGTGGTGATAAAACCAGATAGCTAATCATGTTCATTTATTTTATGTTTGACACATATGGCCACTTTTTAGTCTAAATTGTTTATTTTGGTGGGGTTTTTTTTTAGCAACAGACGGTCTCATCCAGGCAGGACTGCCAGATAACATGCATTTCATGTGAATGGATGATTCAAGCAAAGTAAAAGCTGTGAAGAAGAAAAACGTGGGGTCAGAGGGATGTTTGCAAAGAACATACAAGCTGCTTTAGCCAAAGCTGCTGTGTTGACTAAAACCATAGTTTTATAAGAAAAAAGTCTCTCAAGCAGTTTACATAAGTCAGGACCATACTTGCGTGCCCACATCTGACAGTCTATCAAAGTGACGGAAAGCAAAAAAGGGGCCTTGTGGCAAACCGTTGATTATCTAATCTACTGAACATGGCTGCTGATTTTTCTCATGTCTCGCGCTGTAAGGATGATGTTAAAACTGGAAAACCTCAAAGATTTGGCCAAAGATTTCTTGAAGTTGAAGATTAGTCACATGAGATTTAACAATGACTTAATGTGATGATTACCTCATACTAAAATAAAAAAGAATGACATGTTATGCCTGTCATGTGATTCTCTTACAGATTTTTAAAAATACTTTAAGTTTCCCTTGGTGCAAAAGATGACCATTGTGTGTTGATATGGCCAAAACTCAGAATGCCCTTTTCATACTGATATAATCCCATTCAGGTTACAGCATAGACATGGCACTTTAATATAAAATCGTATTCTATCTGAAATGAACAGAGCCGGGTGTTTGGGTTGTTTTGTTCAACAAAATGATTGTGTTTGAAAATTGAAATGTTTCCTATAGGACTGTGCTGATGCCTGATAAGACTCTCTTAAACCGTTCCTCTCGATAAAGAGGCTAGTGGGGTTTACGAAAAGGTCAGTAGGATTCCCTCAAGCCAAAGCATGTAAGGATTAACAAAGTCTGCAAAGAGCTGATTTTCCAACAGATTATGTACAATCTGTCCACAGAAAGAGAACCCTAAATTCACAAGACAATGAATCCGTATTACCCGAAAGCCTCATTCATTCAAGAGCAACTGACATGTTTCAGTGGCGTCAATAAGTATCCACTCATTTACCTCATGCAACAAATCTACTGCTACCTGACATTTATTAGAGACAGTCCAGATAAAAAAGAGAATAAAAGGCTATTAAAAACAACTTTAACTATTGTTTGATTAAGTTATAAAACTGTCACTGGAAATGATAAGAGTAAAGGAAGGAAAGTATGTGTGTGCGGGTCCTAAAACACTGTGAAGAACAATAAATAGGCAAATGTGACATGATACTGAATGGGTCATTCGAAGTCATGGGTTACAGTCATTTCAGATGGAACAAAGGCCTCAAACTGGTGCATGTAATGCAGTGCGCATGATAGCTATGTTGACCATGTAGTTGGTGTGAACTAGTGCAGGACCTCTCCTGGTACTTTTTGGTCCCAGTAGTAAGCAACAAAAGTCTGTTTCAACTTTCAAATCGAGACATTTTTGAAGAATGCAATCCAGAATACGCTTTGTGTAAAACAAAATAACCCCTTCGTCACAGTTAAAGGTAATCCCTTTAAAACAAACAAACAAACAAACAAACAAACAAACAAACAGTGTGAACACTAAAAAGACAAAAAAACAAACAAACACCATTTGGAAGATAGATTTCACAACCAAGATTACAGAACATTAATTATTAACTCTAGGTTAACAGGCTGGTTGTAAAAAGAGCTTCCCACCAATGTCAACTCTTTCAAAAGCAGAGCAATAAATGGAAGAGGGATGGTTCAGCAATTTAAAGACTGCACAGGGAAATAATATGTTTCACAAAATTTCTGTGACGCTATAAAAAAAAAGTTTGTTCGTAGCAGATTCAGGCCACATTTAAAACATCTTTAAAAAGCATTAAAAAAAATGGTTCAGTGAAACTGAGTGAAATATTCATATTTAAAATCTTTCATATTCATGTTTCGTGCTGGTTTGAATATAGCTAGAAAGTTCAGGTTAGAAATTTCAAGGGAAAAAAAAGTGTATGGACCATCAATTTAACACAGGAACCAGACAGCAGTCTCCTCTTTGATAAAACATTGATTTATCGGCCCACCCATCCATCATGAACTCATGAGGACAATGTACCAGCACTAAAGCATCATAATCTAACATCCCTCTTCATACAGTAGTCACAGCTTATTGACAAGGCTGTTGCAATAAAACCTGAATATGAAATGCTTACCTGACCTATGCCCCATGAAAATAAACCGTTAAAGAAATAAGTATTAAACCCGTTCAGTATGTACTGAAATATTTTGGTTTGATTCGAACACTTGCATGCAGCATAAACATGCTGCTGTGCTTCATTAATCTTAAATTCTTAAATCCATCCATTCTCTGTAACGCTTATTCCCAACGGGGTCGCGGGGGACTGGAGCCCATTGGTAATTTTAACTGTAAAAATGATCACCTGTTATCAATGCAATACATAAACTTGGCCACTAAGTGTCATCATTCCCTTTGTAAACAGGCTTGATGCTTCACCAGCCACTTCAGATACATTTCCTCTGACAGACTTCTCACCACATTACCATTTTCATTGGAAACTGAGTGTTCACTGTTATTTGGGGCTATGCTGTGACATTTTAAAGAATCAGATAACATTGATCTTATTGCAGAAATAGTTTTAACTCTACTATTTCTGGCTGCAGAATGGAGTTCATTGTAACAGGTAAGCTAATCATATACAGTATCTCATATCAGACATTGCACTTCCCGTATGCAGACTGACCTAGCAAGTACTCAATTTTTTTGGCTGATTTAAAGCACCTGATTACACTTATTAACTGATTAAATGGGGAGCTGCAGCACACTATCAATATTGTTGTAGATCTGCAAAGGGCTCCAACATTCAGGTCATGTGATGATGACAAGGGGAAACATTTATATTGCATTTCTGTTGGTAGTGCAGAGTGGTATGTTCAGTGAATTAATAATAACCTTTCCACTTAGAATACTGTATCTGCACTCATGTGTGGAAAGTCTTGACTGAATGAATGGGTACAAAAACGCAATGAATTTAATAACTTATGTATACCATGGAATTTTTCTTCCAAGACAGTACATACATGTCCTTATTCTCCATCACACTTGAGCTAAAATTGGCATGTGTGCTCAAATTATTGTATTGTTGTAACCACAGATATTCTCGAACAGGGTACCCAGACCTTGGTATGATATACTTTGTGGATTTTTTTCTAAATAAAGTTGTCCTTTCTTGTACCTCGCTGTGTCTTTCACCGAGGGAGGAATCATCCATGGGTGTGCGTCATAAAAAATAGCATAATAATGTAGAGCATGCTTGCTCTTAGGGACACTCCTGATAAAAGCAGAAGTGACTTTCACATCCGCTTTCGCTTGCAAATCTATTTTCTCTAACCACGCCAAGTTAACGAGAAAAAGCTCAGTTGTTATTGCGGCTAAATGACATCAAGTCATGATGTAAATGTTCGCTAAATTCTGAGGTGTAAGAGCTTATGTGGGAGCTGTAACACGCATTTGAGGCAGGAACTGTGCCGCCTCTCTTTCCCATCGCTCCCAAGCAGAGTCAGGGGGGTGAACACCTGTTTGATGCTCTGCCTTTGGGCTCCAGGGTTCTGTGGGATCCGGGTGTGCTGACACTGTTAGCATGTGTGATACGAGAGTCTGATCAAAGCTGGCTCATTCTGCCTGACCGATTTCCACAGGATTAAGGATTAGAGAGTCAGGAAGCTGGGAGAGGCACAGAGACAATCCGGGAGAGACAGAAAGGGACAGTGAGGGTTATTGAGAGTAAAAGGGAGGGAGACACACCATAGGGTAGGGAGGGGCCAATAAGAACTCAGGCTAAAAATCAAATCTTAGATATAAAAGACTAAATTCAGTTATGCATCTGGAATCATTTATAAAGCTGAAGAAGATGTACACTGTTAAATATGACAAAATGGAGGTAATTTTTTTTTTTTTTTGTTA